AGTAAGGAGCATCAGTAGCTGGAAGAATATTCAGTGTTCATGACTAGGCCATGCCAATATAATGAAAATGACAATGCTATCAAAATTAATTTGCACTTTTATAGCTATGCCAATCAAATTAACAAGGGGATACTTTACAATACCTGACAAAATAATAACAAAGTCCACTTGGAAAAAAAAGAGATATAAAATGTTAAGGGAAATGTTGAAAAGAAGTAGGGGTGAAGAGAGAATAGCATGCCCCAATCTCAGACTATATTTTAAAGCAGCAGACATCAAAACCACCTGGTATGGGTAAAGAACAGAGAGGTAGTTCAATGGAACGGAGTAAACAAGAGTGATTCAGAAACAATAGAACTCAATAACAAAGTGTTTGATAAAGTAGAAAGCATTAGCTACCTATGGAAAAATTCCCTAATTGATAAATACTACTTGCAAAATTGGAAAGCAGGGTGACAGAAATTAGGCTTAGCCCAACATTGCCTTATACAATATTCCATAATAAATTCAAAATTGGTGAGTGTCTTGAATATCAAAAATCATGCCTAAAAAAGAGGAGGAATAGGTCATCTGCCCTTCATGTCTATGAGTAAAGGATGAATTAATTACAAAGGGTAAAATGGCTAATTTTGATTATGTGAATTGAAAAGATTTTATGTGAACAAGATAACTGTGGTAAGAAAAGGCTTTACAAATAGCGTCTGTGATAGAAATGAATGTATTGTAAAAAAAAAAAAAGGGGACAACTCTGTCTCCTACTGACCCCATTTTAAGAGACTGAACTGCTATGGGTCAGTGCATTGGGGAAGGTCTCATGCCCTTCCTCACCAAGAACAGCAGCTCTCATTTCCCTATTCTGTCTGTACTTTCCAGTTTTAGGCACTGTATAGGAGACAGCTATGATCTTGTAAGTTTTGAAAGGTCAGAACAGTCAGCCTTCAGAAGTCCTGGATCTGGAGCCCATATCACCAGATTTGCCAGCAGATCTGAGGAGCCATCAGTTTGACTCAGCTCAGCAGTGCCCTGCAGCAAAGGAGCAATGAGGAGAAGCAGTTCTGCTGAATTTGGAAGTGAATTTGGTGGCAAGAACAGTGTAGTATCTGCCTTAAGTTCAAGCCAATTCTCATGGACCAACATGGTAGGCTGGAGAGTCCCGTTGACATGTTTGTACTTCTCTTCTCAGAAAATATTACTTTGTAAAAGATGATTGATATTAATTTGTTAAAATGATACTGGGGAGATAATCTTTGGTATCAATAATAATGAGGAGATATCAACCAGAACTCCTCTAATGACATTGGAGAGAACACAGCAGAACAGGAACTAGAGTCAATGGCCTGAGGAAAATCAGCCACAATCCCTTGTGCATAGCCCCTAGAGCTGCAAGGGGGAGATCTGTCTGAAACCCAATGGAAAACATACTTGCCAGTGTGACTTTGGATAAGGACACCCTCCCAGCATACCCAAACCTTCCCACCTCACCCCCTCCCTCTCCAAGCTTTATGGGACACCTAAATGAAAGAATGGTCCAAATCACTAATGAGAGAAATGCAAACTGAAAGAACCCTGAGGTTTCACTTCACAACCAGAAAACTGATGGAGATGACAAAACATGGGAATTGTCAACGATGAAGTAGTTGGGTAAAGACAGACACGTTAATGCATTGTTGAGGGAGCTGTGAATTAGGCCAACAATTCTGGGAAATGAATTGGAATGAAAAGTAATATTAGCTAATAATAGCTAGAATTTGTTTTATGATTTAAGGTTTACAGAGTGCTTTACAAATATCTTCTTTAATCTTCACAAGACCCCTGGCAGGTAGATACTGATATTATCCCTATTTTACAAATGAGGAAATTGAGGCAAACAGAAGTTAAGTGACTTGCCCGTAATCACACAGCTAATAAGTGTCTAAAGACTGGATTAGAATTCAGTACTTCCAGACTCCAGGTATAGCATTCTATCCATTGCACTATCTAGTTGCTTAATTATGCAAAGAAAATTACTTAAACACCCATACCTTTTGAATCAAATGTAATAGCTGTACTAGGAGACTGAAGGTTAGCAGGGAGTGAGGAAGTAGCTAGGTTAGAGAACAGCCTGGATACAAACTGAGCTCTTTGTTGGTAGTTAGAGGGATTGACAATGAGTGAAGAGAGAGAACAGTACTGTGAGGAGATCATGCGTTCAGTATGAGAGGATTTGATAAATAATGGTGATAGCCAGCATTTCTATAGTGTTTTAAAATTTGCAAGGTACGTTACAAATATGATCTCATTTGAGCCTCACAACAATGCTAGGAGGCATAAGATATTATTATTAACCCCATTTTACAGATGAGGAAACTGGGGGAAGCAGGAGTTACATGTCTTGTTCAGGGTCATACAACTACTGGCTGAGGACTAGGTATGAGTTCAGGTCTTCCTCACTCCAAGCCCAACACTTTATCCACAGCTTGACCAGCTCCCTTTAAATGAGTGTATGGGAGAGAGTGTGGAAGGATTGACCAATTCTGGTTCTGGTTGTCTGCAGCAGCACAGTGAGCCAAGATTGATTCAGCCTGATCACTGAAGTCCTCCAGGATCCAGCTGCCCTATGGTACTTTCCAGCCCAGCTGCCTGCTAGAATTTCCTGTTACATGACTCTCTGTCTCCTGCCTGGGAGATTTGGACAGGTGTTGGGAAGGCATTCCCTTTTCACCCCTCTTGGCAGAGAATTTAACTTTTTTTTGAAAGTATGGCTCAGGTGGGGCAGCTAGGTGGCACAGTGGATCACTGACTTTGCAGTCAGGAGTACCTGAGTTCAAATCCAGCCTCAGACACATCATACTCACTAGCTGAGTGACCCTGGGCAAGTCACTTAACCTCAATTGCCTCACCAAAAAAAAAAGAGTACACCTGAGGTTCTACATTGTACCTGGGATTGTCCTGCTGTCCACCTATTGATACACTCTCCCTCTCCCTCTCTCTCTCTCTCTCTCTCTCTCTCTCTCTCTCTCTCTCTCTCTCTCTCTCTCTCTCTCTCCCTCTCCCTCTCTCTCTCTCTCTCTCTCTCTCTCTCTCTCTCTCTCTCTCTCTTATATTACATATATTTTGTATTTACTTTCATATGTACTGTGCCATCCCAAACCCTTGCAGAAAGGGAGTCTTTCATTCTTTTTCTTCCTTCCTGCCTGCCTTCCTTCCTCTCTGTCTTTCTCCCTTCCTTCCTTCTTTGCTTCCTTCCCTTTTTTCTTCCTGTTTCTCTCTCATCCTTCCTTCTTCTCTTCCTTTCTTGCTATCTCTTCTTGTTTCTCTTTCTTTTTTCTTCTTTCCTTCATCTTTCTCTTTCTTTTTCTTCCTTCTGTCTTCTGTCCTCTCTTTCTCTTTCTCTTATTGCTTCTCTTTCTTTATCCCTCTTTTCTTCCTTACTCTCTTTTCCTCTCTCTCCTTCTTGCTTTATTCCTCTCTTTCTCTTTTCTTCTCTTGTTTCCCCCTTCTTCCTTCTTTTCTCCTTGCTTCCCTCTTTTTTCTTTCTCATTGTATCCTCAGCTCCCAGCTCAATGCCATACATTCAGCGGATTGTTTAATAAATATTTGCTGCAGTGAATTAAATTGAATTGCAGTGGAGCAAGTGTCAGCATGCTTCTTTCTAGCTGGCATTTGAGGACTTGGCATGGAACAGGCTAAAGAAGAGGAAGGCTACTGCCCTGAAACCTTGAATCCCATTCTACAGGTGCCCAAAACTGGCATGGAAAAGGTGGCCCAAAGGAGCCAGTCCCATCTAATAGTATGTATTATAGTGACCTCTGCTGGTGTTGTATTTATTCTCTTCGTGTACTTATATAGATACTTATTGATTTCTCCATGAGAATGTAAACTCCTGCAACGTTGGGGTTGTTTCATTCTTTGTATTTGTATCCCGGCTCCTGGCACAGTATCTAGCACATGGTAGGTGCTTAATAAATGTTTGTTGTTTGCTCAGTATCCTAACCCTGCCCCCTTCACTAGAATATAAGCTCCTTGAGGGAAAGTGTTTCTCATCCAAATTTTGTATGCCTTCTAGCATCCATCATAATCCTCTGCACATACGTGACATGATACATCTTTGGAGCACTATTCCATGCCACTGAGAAGCAACAGCCAGTGTTGTAGAAAGAAGGCTGGTCTTAAAGTCAAAGTAGACCTGGGTTTATAACCCTGTTCTATCATATACTAGGGGGCCATCTCCAGTCATAGAGCACAGGGTCTTCTTTGATGCAAGCACGCCATGCTTGGCGGTCATTTGCCAGTGTCTTTCATGTTATGCAATCAATTCCAGAGTTCTCCAGAGAGACCTTGAGAGTGTCCTTGTATCACTTTTTCTGACCTCCATGTGAGCACCTGCCTTGCAGGAGTTCCCTGTAAAATAGGGAAAACATTTTGCATTCAAACTACATAGGCAGCTAGCTGTATGACCTAAGCATGTCACTTAACCTCTGCCTACCTCAGTTTCTTCATTTCTAAAACGAGGATAACAATTACACACCCCTCACAGGGTTAGCATGATGATCAAATGAGCTAATAGATACAAAGCACATAATATACTAGTTGAAACGTAATAGGCACTATATAAATTTTAGCTATTATCATTATTAACTATAGCTAATAAACATGCATCCAAACAGGATACAAAACACAGAGCATTCTTCACAGATACACATTATTATTCTTTCTGTTTTCCCAGAAAACTACAAGAGTCTTGTAATGACGATGTTGCTTAAGTCTGAAGAGAGTGAAGCTTGATTCAAGAGTGAAGGACTTGGAGTCTAAAGACCTGAGATGGAGCCCCTGCACAACCTCTTCTCAGCTGTGTGACTTGGGGTGGGGCAAACATTCTGGGCCCTTGAGTCCTCTGTGGTACAGTAAGCATGTTGGAGCAGACATTCTTTTTTTTCTTAGCCAATTGAGTTAAGTGACTTGCCCAGGTTCACAGAGCTAGTAAGCGTCTGAGGCTGGATTTGAACTCAGGTCCTCCTTACTCCAGGAAAGGCGCCTATCCACTGTGCCACCTAGCTGCCCCTGGATCAGATATTCTTTAAGCTCTTGTCCAGCTTGAATGCTCTCTGGTGCTCACAATAACTCTGGGAAGTTTCTGGTGTCATTTTTATTATTCCCACTGAGTTCATAAGGAAAAAGACATTCCAACAGGCAAAGAGAATTTGCTAACATCATATAGCTGGTGGATGAGTGAAGTATTTCTGAACGGCACACCAGGCACCAGTCACTCAAACACTGGGAATGTGCAGAGGTAAAAAACTATCTTCACGGAGCTCACAATCTAATGAAGGGAGACAAGCTGCAAACACCTATGGACAGACAACTTATACACAAGGCAAACTGGGGGATGATCAACAGTAAGAAGGCATCAGCTTTAAGGAGAAATTAGCAAAGGCTTCTGACAAAAGGTGAGATTTTAGCTGAGACTTGAAGGAAGCCAGGAGGGACAGAGGATGAGGAAGAAGGTTCCAGGCATGGGGGCAGCCAGAGAGAGTGCCCAGAGCCCAGAGACGGAGGAACACCAAGGAGGCCCAAAATGAAGGAAAAGGTGGGGAGGGTCCAAATTCTGAAGGTCTTTAAAAGCCAAACAAAGGGTTTAATATTTGATATTAGAAGTAAAGGGAACCATCAGAGTTTAGCATATAAGGAGTGACATCAGCATATGTCTGACATCATCAGATTTGAGTGGAGGATGGACTGGACTGGGAAGAAAACTGAAGCAAGGGAAACTAGACAGCAGGCTATTTTGAAGTCCACATGTGAGGTGACCTGACCACCTAGCTTCTATTACATTCTATATTACCTTTATCCTGCCATAATTGTCTGAACCCTATATCAACTATGTCTTATTTTCTTAGTGACAAAAATGTTTTGACAATTCAATATTGGATTTTTCTAAATGGAGAGAATGTTTGGGTACCATATATCCCTGTATCTCAGGGAAGTGCTAGAGCCAACTTGTACCAGAGCTGGTTGTTAAATTTTCAGCATGAGTATTTATATCTCAGAATTGGCATCCACTACAATTTAGGGTTTGGGTCATTGTTTTATTGATTTCTAAGCTTAACAAAGTGATGGAGATAATGTGAATGATATAACTTGAAAGTATATCTTCTGGGTTTTTCAGAGAGCTGATTGTTAAACATTGACCAACAGACCCCTGCCTGTATCCTGTTAGTAAAAGGTATTGTTATTGTGAAATATCTTGTTAGCATAACCACTCAGAATAGAGGAAGGATTTCCTTTGATTTTGCAATTTTGTTCTATGTAAAAGGAACCCTGTAGACAAACTACATTGAATTTGGGTTCACAGATACTAATTGTCTCTGTGCTGCTCTTTTGCAAGTAAAGAATCACTTGAGTTGCAGGATTATCTTGAAGTTTTGTTTACAAGACTCTCAACGTACCCCATTATCTCCTCAGAGAAGTGTTATCTGGAAAATGCTAGCTAATTGATGAAGCAAGACAGAGACATCCAATATTTTCCCCAGTCCCTGGCAGCAGCTCAATGTTCTAAGAACCTTTGATTTGGAGTCAGAGGACCTGGTTGCTTAGTGTGTGGATCACCTTGGACAAGTCCTTTCCCTTCTCTGGGCCTTGGTGTTCATTCTTGTTCAATGATTTCTAATAATCTTCCAACTCTAAATCAATCATTTGATCAATCATCATTCTTTCCATACCAAGTGGCCTAAAGGTACAGTGACAGAAAATGAAACTACCTCCACTATAATTCTATGACATGAACTAGGGATTTTTTTCCTCTAGACACAGGGTGGACTGACTGGTATCATCAGATTCCCATTATCTCAAAATTGGAAAGTCCCTTTCAAATGAGATGATATTTATAAGACTGTTTCTTAGCACAGTGGCTGGAACATAGTAATCCTTACATTAATTTGTTGTTTTCCTTCTGAATACCATTTAAATTCTCCCAAAACAGTAATAAGTGAGAGTCAAAGTACTTCACTCAAAACTGCAGTATACTTTAGATGAGACCAAGGAACTATTCAAAGGAAATGATTAGGTATCATTGGTCTGCAACAATTGCAAAAATGGTTTTGTTTAGAGATCACAGCTCCACTCGGGCTTTTTCTGGCCATGATTCCTTCATCTTCTGAGGCAAGGTCTTGGTCCAGAACTCCCATTTATCCTTCCTCAGACTGTTTCCCACAGACAACTGCAAATTAAGCTCCAGGTACTCTTCCTTCTGGTCATAGAGAGGCCAGTGGATAAGGTCTGCACCATTTGGGTCCCTGGGAGCAAAAAAAAAAAAAACATTTAGAACTGAAAAGTTCTATTGGAAAGTGTAGCAAGCCACCACCAGCTCAGCCTGAGAGTGAAGGAAGGGGCCCCAAGGTTGGGATCAGTTGACAGTGGTAGTACCCATAAAGAGACTTGTTCACCCAACTTTAAGCAGTTTGGTCTTCACCTTTCACGTTGGCCCTTTCTAATGCAGCTGAGGTAGAAAGTCCAAAGTGTAGAGGGACTCATGTAGGAAATAAGTAGCAAAATCAAGATTTGAACTCATATCATTAGATTCCATTTCATTGGGGCAGCTAGGTGGTACAGTGGATAAACCTGTACCTTGAGTTAGGAATACCTGAGTTTAAATCCAGCCTCAGATACTTACTAGCTGTGTGAACCTGGGGAAATCATTTAACCCTGTTTGCCTCTGTTTCCTCCTCTGTAGAATGAGCTGAAGAAGGAAATGACAATCTGGAGTAGTTTGCCAGTGGATATCACTCCAGTATCTCTGCCAGGAAAACTCTAGTTGGGTCACAAATAATCAAACACAATATCACTGGACTCCACATCTAAGGCTCTTGCCACTGCCACCTGTCCTAATGTTTTCCAAGGGGGAAGATAAGTCACTGACACTCAAGGGTGATGGTGTGAGCCAAGAGAGTTCCTGATCTCTCTTGTTTTCCTTCCAAGATGCCCATGTGTAGGGTGAATCTCTCTGAGAAATCCTTCCCCAACCCCAGTCATGAACTTGGGGAAGGTCTAAACTTGTTCACCACACCTTGCCTCTAGGATGAATGAACTATTTTTTTCCTTGAACAAATTTCAATCAAGGAACTTCTATGGAAGTGGGAAACCTTTATGTGCCTAAGAACAGGCACTACTCCAGAGGGAAACCATGGCGAAACCAAGAGGCAGCTGTCTCACCCATGATGGGCAAAGTTTGCCCAGTAGCTCATTATCCTGTGACTCAGGAGTTTTTCCTCTTCTGGTCCCTCTCCCAAAACTAGGAACAGAAAAAGAAAAATCTTGGTTAAGGTCAAAATGCAGACCCAAAGGCCTCCTTTCCTTCAGTCCCAAGCCATAACCACCCAGTCAATCCTGCTCTAGCCATTGAACTTATCTTCCATCTATAGTTTCCTTCATGTTACTCCCCTCCCAGAGGGTGTCCCCGGGCTTTTGTTGGCCTACTCTGTCTGACTCCATAACTGAGTCTCTCCCCAAAAAACAAAGTGGTGCAGCTGGTCTGGAAATCAGGAATACCTGAGTTCTAATCTAATCTCAGACGCTGACTAGAAGAGTGATCTTGGGCAAGACAGTTAACCACTGTCTGCCTTTGTTTCTTTGAAAAATAGGGATAATAATAGCATCTGTGGCCCTGGGTTGTTGGGAGGGTAAAAAAAAAAAGCTGGGATAATATTTATGGAATGCTTTACAAAACTGGTAAAACGTTACATAAATGATAGCTATTACTATTATGTTTATGTTATTATATACTTACTATAACATTAAAGTTATTACATATAAAGTATATTACATTATATTTTATGATTACATGTTTTATCATACATAATTATAATAAAGGTTTGATTGTTATAAATGTTATTTATGGTAATAATTATCATTATGGTAAGCTACTCTAGCATAGAAGAAGCTCTAGCAGCTGGAAAGACTTTGCATATGGCCCCTGTCCCAGACAGTGCCTGCCATTCCAGACCCCTGCCTGGGGCCGTGCAGACAGGCTCAACAACAGTAGCTGGCCCATAAGGCAGTGAATTCATTGACCAAGGCAAGTAATGAAACAGATTAAGGTATAAACTGGCCTTCCAGTTCTGCCAGGACAGGAGCAGAGAGGTGGAAATAGGGAGAGAAGACTTTCAAAAACACAGAGTTCGGACCACCTACAAACATGAACTCTAAAGATTGTTCATTGTGAGACTTTTGTCCAACAATCCACAAATGGATGCACTGGTAGAGAAAATGAATCAAGAATAACTGGAAAAAAGGGAGGGAGGGAAGAAGGAAGGAAGGAAGGAAGGAAGGAAGGAAGGAAGGAAGGAAGGAAGGAAGGAAGGAAGGAAGGAAGGAAGGAAGGAAGGAAGGAAAGGAAGGAAGAAAAGGAAGGAAAAAAAGGAAGGAAAGGAAGAGGGAAGAGGTCCAGCACATTGGGCAGATCCACTGTGGACAATTTAAGGAAGCAGAAGGAAAAGAATCACATAGAATCAGATGGTATACTAGTTAGGGTCTACATTAGAAGAGAGGGTGAGGGTATTAGTGAGGTCACTGGTCCGCTGACATAGGGAAACAGAGATGGAAATAGCTTTTTTGTGTTTGTGCCTTATTTTCCCTTCTGGATAGTAAACTCCAAGAAGTCAGAGACTGTGTCTTATTTACCTTTGTGTCTTCCCCAGAGCTGAACAGAGGGCTCTGCATGCTGGATGTGCTTAATTATGTAAAATGAATTGAACGAAATAGCTGAATCAACTTCCTGATTCAGTTCACCTGAACAAGCAGACTGAGTTTGAGGACTTGCAAGACTGATACCTTAATCTCCAATCACTCAATCAACCAGGTAACTATTAATTGGCTCCTCTATCCCTGGCGCTGTGCCAAGGGTTGCAGATACAAATACAGTGAATAATAAATAAAAACAAAAACTCTTCTCAGCCAGCTGGGCCCCTATTCAGTGCCTCCTAAGGGAACCTGGATTTGGGCTCAGACCTGCTAACTCTGCGATATTGATAAGTCTTTTCTCTTCTGAAAAACAGACACAACCCCTCCCTTCCACACACCCTGACCCTCACAGGGTATTTGGGAAGATCAAATAGAATCTAGATGATAGGTGGACTGAGTGCTGAACATGGAACCAAGAAATCATGAGTTCACATCATGACTCAGACCCTTAACTAGCTCTGTGCTTCTTGGCTAGCCAAGAGTCACCTTTCTCAGCCTCAGTTTCCTCATCGATAAAATGGAGATAGCATCAGCACCTACTTCACAGGGCTGTTTTGAGGCTATCAAATGAGATTGGCATATACAAAGCTCTTTCTAAGCCTTCAAGCAGTATAGAAATGCTAGCTACCTATTGTTATTATCATTATTAAATAAGCTGACATGTGGGAAGTTCCTTTGGGGAAAGGTAAGGCATTATTACACATTTTGATGTCAGAGAGAGTAAGGTAGGTGATGGAGAAGGCAGGCCAGAGCCCCAACCCTGATCCACAGCTTCCCACTCCGTCCCATCTCCACTGCTTACAAGGCACTCCAAAGACAAAAGGAAGCTCATCACCATGGTCCGCTTTCACAAAATCCGGCTTGATTCCATCAACCCAGCTTGGTCGGTGCTGAAATTCATAAAAGTAGACTGGAGAGCTGGGACCTAGGCAAACATAAGAAATGCCAATGGTTAGTGACACATTGAGCACAGGGCAGGGCCGCATGCCAGGGGACCCTGGCCTGATTCCCTCCCTTGGGTTGGGGGACGAATGTGGGTGTCCATTAACGGGCAAGCTCCTAGAGGGCAGCCCCTTAACAAATCCTGTCCAAGAGTGATGCTGTGAGGCAGGACAAGGGCTGGGGTCTGGAGTAACAGGACCTGGGTTGAAATCATGGCCCTGTTATTGATTGACTATGAGATCTTGGGCAAATCCTTTTGCTTCTCTGAGCTTAATTTTTCAAAGGTAAGGTAGGGATAATAATCCCTGGCCTGTCTACCCAAGAGAGAAGGAGAGAGGAAGAGAATAATCATTCATTGTTCAATTGTCAGTGGTATTCGACTCTGCATGATCTCATTTGGAGTTTTCTTGGAAAAGATACTGGAGTGGTTTGCCATTTCCTTCTCCAACTCATTTTACAGATGGAGAAACTGAGGCAAAGAGGGGAAAGTGACTTGTTCAAGGTCACAGAGTTAGTGTTTGAGGCCAGATTTGAAGTCAGGAAGAGGGGTCTTCTTGACTCCAGGCCCAGAACTTCATCCACTGTGCCACCTGGCTGCCCTATGAACAAGTATTTATAGATCATCTACTTCATGCCAGACACTGTGCTAAGTGCTTTACAAACATTATCTCACTGGAGCCTCACAACAACTCTGAGGTGCTGTTATCACTTCCATTGAGGAAACTGAGGCAAACAAAGGTCAAATGACTTGCTTAGGATCACACAGCTAGAAGGTGTCCGAGTCTGGATTTGAACTCACATTTTCCTGATTCCAGGTCCATTCTATATCCACTGGGATGAAGTTGTTGTGAGGATCCAGGGGGTACAAGGGATGCAAGGGATTTTATAACAATAAAACCCTCTAGCAGGAGTTCTTCCGTTTATTTTTAGTTGAGCACTTTGATAAATCGATTTCAATCTAATTGATTTTCTAAACTAAGTATTTTATTTTATACATTTAAAAACGTATCTTGGGAAGGAATCTTTAACTTTCCCTGGAGACCAAAGGGCTCCATAGTGCATACGCACAAAAAAAGTTAATAACATCTTCTTATAAAAATGTGGGTTATTTTCACTTATTCATTTATACACAATAGACATATTTATTAATTTGTAGATAATAGTCACAGAGTCCCCCCCAAGTATCTGTTGGGGTAAGGTAGAGGTATGAGGGAAGAAGGAAGGTGAACAAGGAGGTTTAACCAGTCTGGAGGCTCTGATAGCAGAGCCAGAAGCAGGAGTCTTCTTCTGCATGAGTAGGTGGGTGATATAGACACATTGCTCAGGAGAGGAGATATACTGATTCTGAAAAGGATCAATGCCATACTCACTGTGTTGATATTTGGCCACTTTCAGGGAAGGAATGACAAAGAGGAAATCCCCCACTATTTCCTGGAGTTGAGCTCGACATTTTCCCGGGTCCTCAGGGTCTCTTAAATACTCTTCCATCATCAACTGCCCAAGCTTAGGGGGAATACCCTATAGGAGACCCAGGAGGAGAGTAACAGAAAAATATTTCGTTCATTTTTTTGTTGTTATTGTGGCAATTGGGATTAAGTGACTTACTCAAGGTCACACAGCTAGTAAGCATCACATGTTTGGTCTGAGGCTGGATTTGAACTCAGGTCCTCCTTACTCTAATGCCAGAGCTCTATCCACTGCACCATCTAGCTGCCCCTAGAAAAATAAACATACCTGGTAGTGGATTGTTTAGGGATGTTTGTTGGTGGTTTGTAGGGAATAAGCAAGTGAGCAAGTGGTGCAGTGGGAAAAGCGATGGCCCTAGAGTCAGGAGGACCTGTGTTTAAATATGACCTCTGACATGTATTAGCTATGTGACCCTGGACAAGTCACTGAATCTTGTTTCCCTCAGTTACTTGTCTATAAAATGAGCTGGAGAAGGAAATGGCAAACTACTCCAGTATCTTTGCCAAGAAAACCCCCAAAAGGTCACGAAGACTCAGATGTGACTCATCAACTAAATAAGGACTAAGCCCACACCAGCTTGCCTGCTATTCATATGTCCTGGACCTCATTAGATCTCTTCACAATCTCCCTACCAGGGCCTGCCTTTTCAGGGTTAAATTGTTGGGCATAGCGTAGAGAAGATGTCAGCCTCAAGGAAAGGATAGCAAGAGCTGGTGTCTCCAAGGTCCCTTCCCACTCTGTGACTATGAAAGAAGAAAGTCAGAAGGTGAAAGGACCTTCACTAGCTCTCTCCTGGACTATTTCAATGGCCTCCTGATTGGGCCCTGTGCCTCAGATCTCTCCCCACTCCAATCTGTCCTCCACTCATCTTCCAAGGTGATGTTCCAAGCACAGATCTGACCATTTTACTTTCCTCCCCCAACTAAACAAATTTTAGTGGATGCCCACTACCTCTAAAATTAAATATGAACTCTTCTGTTTGGTATTTAGAGCTTTTAACAACCTGACCCCATCCAGTCTTATTATACACGATTAAGGGTAATCACTCTGTGGTACAGGTATGCCAGCCTTCTGGTTCCATCTCTCACCTCCATGCCTTTGCATTGGCAAGACTCAGCTCCCACAGTATCTTCTATAGAGTACCTTTCTTGGTTCCTCCCTCCTCCAGCTGATATTGCCTCTCTGTACATTTCCCATCTAGTTCTGGATGTGTAGGTTATCTCCCTCATAGAATTTAACTTCCTCAAGAGCAGAGACTATTTCACTTTGTCCCTGTGCCTAGCCCAGTGCCTGCTATGTAGTAGGTGCTTAAAAATACAGAAAGTTGAGTAACTGGTATCTCACCAAAACTGGAGTTTGCAATGCTGACTGGACACTGTTTTTATCCATGTTTTCCTTAAATCCAGGAATGCTCATTCCCTGTGTAGAGAAAAATGACGCACGGTGAATGGTCTTTAGAACTTCATGAAATTTATGCATTTTTTAAAAGAAATATAATCCAAGGAATCATTTTACCCTTTAAGGAGGAATTTGTGCCATAGATTTGGTTAGGAATTACTGAATAATGCCCAATACCACTGAACAATTCTCAAGATATTTTGCAAAATGACGGCAAAATGGTGGGTGATGCCAAGTATATAATCAATAGTAGTTGTAGTTTCTACGTAACAACCAGTGTCCTTAGACAATGATCAATGCTTACTAAAATACATGATGTTGGAAATGATGCAGGCAAATTCTATTTTTCTGATTTGTGTAAATAGACCAACTTTACATGCACATGCTTAAGGAGGCAGTTGAAATATGGTTGTTAACACCATGTCATATTTAAAATTAATATTGAGTCAATGGCCTTAGATATGATGACCTGAAGTCCGTAGCAATGAGACCTGGTCTCCCATCAGGAGGCCCAGCTGTGTGACTGGGGTTAAATCATGTCTTTTCTGGGATATTCAGTTCTCTACTTTACAAAATGAGGATAAACATCTTAATGGTCCCTACCAGCAAGTAGGGATATATACAGCAGGTATACAAAAAGAAGTTTTTTGTAAATTGTAAAGCGCTGTGTTAATGTCAGCTGGTGCTGTTCACTGTTCATTTAAAATAAAGAGACTTGAGGCAGCTAGGTGACACAGTGGATGGAGCAAAGACCAGGAGTCATGAGGACCTCAGTTCAAATCTGCCCTCAGACACTTACTTGCTGTGTGACTTTGGGCAAGTCACTTAACCCTGATTGCTACCAAAAACTTAAAAATTTTGAAAATGAAAAAAAAAACAAAATAAAGAGACTTGTAGAATATATTTTAACCAAAAAGTAACTAGACATTTCTTGGGCTTCTCTTCCTCTACTTCTGAAGAGATTTGCACATGAAATGAGTTATTCATGGAGAAAACAACCAAAAGTAGAATACTTCTGATTCTTCCAGGGAAGCCTGTTCAGGGTAACTTTTCTGATTATAAAAGGACAAATTTACAGATGACACAAAGTCGAGAAGGCCAGCTAACATATTGTATCATGGAGTCAGGATCCAAAAAAAAGGGACTTGACAGGCTAGAATGTTGGATCGACCACACCCACTGGGATCAAATTTAATGGGTTCAAAGTTTTCCAATCTCAATATGAGGGAGGCAGGGCTAGATACCAGTTTATTTGAAAAAGATCTAGGGATTTTGTTGAACCACAAGCCCATAAAGAGTTAATATGGCAACCTAAAAAGCAGCATGATGTTGAGCTCTGTTCAGAGAGGCACAGCTTCCAAGAATAAGGAGGTGAGAGTCCCTTTGTGCTCTGCCCCTGTGGAGGCTACAGTTATCTTCCCCACATTGAGACTTTCCTCATCATGGTTTCAATATATTGCAGGTAGGAGTAAGAAATTAAATGGTAATTTGGGGGAGTTTTGCTAAAGACACAGATGACAGGCAAAGCCCAGCAGGTGACACAGAAATTGTTTAGAAACTCAGAAACACAGAAAATATATGTATGCTATTGTATAATATCAACATATGTTATCCTTTAATACCATAATAATTCAGTCTTCCCTGGTAAGAAGGGCAGGGAGTCAAAAATATTATATGGATATTCTAGATAGTGGGGCACTGCACTTCAGTCCCCCTGATGTGGAAGGGATAACTGTATATCTGGAATCTTTTGTTCAGTTCTGGGCATAACATCTAAGGCAGAAAATAGAGAAGCTGAGAAAGGGGTCGTAGTCTTGCCATATAGGGATGGGTTGAAGGAACTTGCTTTGCTGGTCAAAGAAAAAAACTTGGGGTAAGCCTGACTTGACAATTATCTTTAACAACCTGGTGGATGGTCACATGCAAGAGGCATTTAATTGATGTCATTTGCCCTAAAGGCAGAGCTGGGAACAACAATGTAAAAAGAAGTAAATTTCCACTTGTTGTCATGGTGTCCTGTCCAACCGTGAGAGCTGCCTCAAAATGGAAGGAGCTGCCTCAGGAGCCAGGAGGTTTTCTCTCCTTGGAGGTCTTCAAGAAGAGCTGGATGGCCATTCATCCAGCAAGTTATAGAAGGGATTCTCCTTCAACTCTAGCTTAGATTCCATGGAAATCAAGCTCTTGACCTACTCGGAAAGTCTGTGATTCCTTAAAGAAGCATAAACTGTGGAGATCGGAAAGAAGCTGACACTGAATAGAACATGCTAGAATCTTACCACAGGAAGAACCCAGCCATATTCGTGGTTGTTGACACCGATAATGGAAGGGATGTGGTGGAACTCTCCTGCAGCCAGCATCTCTTCAGGATGTTTGGGGAAGAATTGCCCATCAACCACACTAGGGATTATGTTCAAATGCTGAAGAAAGAAGAAGAATAAAAAGAAATGAAGAAAAGAAAAGGCAACTCTATCTCCATAATCTCCCTTACATGTATCTCTTTCTCTTCATTCTCATTGTTACCATCCTATTTCAGACACTTTTTATCACTTACCTGAACTCTTTTTTCTCTATTTTGGAGGCAATGAGGGTTAAGCGGCTTGCCCAGGGTCACACAGCTTGTTAGTGTCTGAGGCCAGATTGGAATTCAGGCCCTTTTGACTCCAGGGCCAGTGCTCTAACCATTGTACTACCTAGCAGTCCTCACTTATCTGGACACTTGCAACAGTCTCCAAACTGCCTCCCTGTCTCTCCCTCTAATTTGTAACACACACACACACACACACACACACACACACACAAGTTCCTCATCTCAGATTTGCTCATGATAATCCATTGCATTAAAAGAAAAATAGTCCCATGACTCCCCATTACCTAAAGAAAACCTCTAACACTTCAGTCTGGCATTCAGAACTCTCTCTTCTACTTTTCCAGCCTTATCTCATACTATGTGGACTCTAGCCTGTGCCAAGTATATCATGTTTCACCAACAATGGATTCCCAGCTCTCAACTGAAAGTCAACCACCTTCTGCTACCTTTCTGCCTTGGCTCACTTCATTCCATATCACTAGAATGACCTTTCTCCCATTGCTACCTGTTGAAATTCTTCACTTCCTTCAAGAGCCAATTTAACTGCCATGACTTCCACAATGTCTTCTCTGATATGGCAGCCAAAAGGACCCTTTTCTTCCGCAGAGTTCTTACCCCGTATGTCGGTGACTCCTCCTCTGCATTAAGGTTCTGTTACCTCTCTATGGCACAAAGCCCCCTCCCCTAAGAAGGTGAGTTGCTTCATGGAACCATCCCTTATCCAAACTTTGTGTCCGTCCAGGTCAGACACAGAAGCTGCTCCAGAAATGCTTCTGGAAGGAACAGCAAGAGAGCTATGGCCTCAAAGTCAGTAGATCTGAGTTCTAGTCCTGGCTCAGCAGCTAACGCACTCTGTAACTTTAGGCAAATGACATCTCTCTGGTTTCAATTTCCTCCCCTACAAAATGAGTGAATTGGACTAAGTTATTGTCAAGATCTCTTCCCATGAAGTTTTCTAAAGAGGGGAAGTGGAATTGGACTTTAACAAATAGGGAAGAATTCAACAGACAAAGGGGGGCTAGGAGAGGCAGCAGTGGGAGGGAGGAAGGAACACTGGATTGCAAATTGGGAGACACCGGGGCTGGAATCCCAGCTCTAATGTTTACTGACTGTGTGATGGTGGAGAAGTGGAGAAGCCACTGCCTGTCTGCTCCACAGAGGTTTGTTTTTGTTAAGTTATGTCCAAGTCTTTATGACCCTGAGGACCATAGCACACCAGTACAATCCATGGGCTTTTTCTTGGCAAAGATACAGGAGTGATGTGCCATTTCCTTCTCAAGTAGATTAAGGAAACAGAGGTTAAGTGACTTGCCTAAGGTCACATAGCTAGTGGTCTTCCTGACTGCAGGGCTGGTTCTCTATTCACTGAGACCTCCTCAGAGATTTATTCATCTTTAAAATGGGAATAATGTTTCTTGCCCTTTCTACCTCACGGATTGTTATGAGAAAGGCAATTTATAAACCAGTATGAAAATAGGAAGGGAGGACTTTACAGACATGAGACACACCTGAACAAAGGCACACAGGTAAGAGAGTATAGGGAACAAGTAGAAGACTGAGGACAGATGACTTTGGCTGGAGCATAGAGTGCGTGCAGGGAGGTAATATAAGATAAGGCAGGAAAGCCATGGAGGCACCAAACTGTTCAGTATCTGAATACCAGGCTTGGGTTTGACTGAGAGTCAGGAATCCTTTCTTCTCCCATCTCCTTGGCATCTGCTGTGGCCAATATGAAACTTGACCTCCCAGGTGCTTTGGAAAGGATATTCATAAGACTGTAGATTTAGAGCTGGGAGGTGCTTTAGAAGATCATCTGGTTCAACCCTGTCATTTTCTGGATGAGTAAACTGTCATCAAATCAGGTTGAAAAACATAATAGTTTTCAGATTGAAGGGGAGGAGAGTCAATATGTCTAATAGAGAAAGTGATTACATATAGGGAGAGCTAGGTGGTATAGTGGACAGAACGTTGGTCCTAGAGTCGGAAAACTCATCTTCCTAAGTTCAAATCTGGCCTCAGACACTTACTAGTTGTGCGAGCCTGGGCAAGTCATTTAGCCCTATTTGCCTCAGTTTCTTAATGAGCTAGAGAAGGAAAAGGGAAAGTACTCCAGTATCTTTGCCAAGACAACCCTAAATGCAGTCATCAAGAGTTGTAGGCAACTAAAAAATGACTGAACAATTAGATGAGATTAGATCTGGTATTAATATTTAAACTTACTCTAACACTTATTACTAAGTGAATTTTTGAAGAAGCAATGTGATGCAATGAATAAAAATCTTGGTTCTAAGAATGCAATGAATAAAGATCTTAGTCATGTAACTGTCTTGATATTTGTGAGCTGTGTGGCATTTGGCAATGTCACTTAACCCCTCTAGGACTCAGTTTCCTTTTTTTTAAATATCAAGTCAATACATCAATCCACTAACTGCCATAGGCTCTGGGGATACAAATAGAAAAGCAAATGGCTCCCTGACTTCTTGCTGCTTCCACTTAATGGTTCTAATTCCCGTGTCTGAAGTTTGGAAATGACATCATACTTGTACTATCAATGGCACAAAGTTGTTGCAAAATTATTGAAATGATATAATATATATAAAATGTACTTTTATGAAAGGAATATTTAGATGAGAGCTATCAATCCCAGGGGATAGAGAGAGTCTTCCCACAACTATGATTCTTTCCTCCAAAGACCCATAGGGTGTTTGATCTGAAAGAAGCCCAAGAACAGAATACTAGAGCTAGAAGGGATGGCCGCCACCACTACCACCACCATCAACATCATCATCTTAACATTTATTTAGTGATTACTATGTTCCAGGCACTGTACTAATAAGCATTTTACAATTGTTATCACAGTTGATCCGCACAAGGACCCTGGGAGGTAAGTGTTATTATTCTCCCCATTTTATGAATAAGGAAACTGAGGCAAACAGGTAAAATGACAGCTACTGTCTGAGGCTAGAGTTGAACGCAGGTCCATTTTCCCAGAGCTTAAAATATTTCACCCATCAAGCTGCATTCTCTGTATCTTAACTTGTAGAATGTTAGAGCATAGAATGTCACAACTGGAAAAAAAACAATCGTGTAAAATAGACTAGCAGAAATGAAAGGAAATTTGGAACAAATAATGTTGGAACCCAGAATGTTAGAATCAGATTAGAATGGATCCTTCTAGCTTTAAAGCTATAATTCCATAAACAGAGAATGTTTGAGTGGGAAGGGTTGTGAGACTAGAGCATGAAAAAGCTCAGAACCTTAAAACCTGAAATGTTTAGACCACAGAATGCTGGAAGGATTCTTAGGACATAATATGGCCAGAGTAGAAGGGATGGAACCTATTACACACACAAAAAAAAAAGTTAAGAGCACAGAATGTTGAAGGTAGAAGAGATCCTAGTAAGAAAACATCAGACATAGGAGTAACCTTCAGACCATGTGGAAATGTCCTTGAAGATCATCTAGTACTAGGAGGAAGCTGAGGTTAAGAGAGTGACATTCCCAAGATCTTCACCTCAATTCCACCCAATCAAGGTTGAGTGTACAGCTTTCCCCTAAGCTGTTTTGGCAGCTTGTCTTGGCACTAGAACATTTGTTTTTCAGCTTACATACCTTGGTAATGGCCAGGACTTCTCCTTCAGATTTGCTCCTAAGGCACTGAACCATGGAGGCAGAACTGTGTCTATCACAAGAAGACAGATTGGCAATGGCCTGCAAAAAGGCACCCACAAAGAGTTAACATTCTCATGGAGGAATGCCTGGCCTGTATCACAAGAAAGGAATCTTTTCATACTCATCAGTAAGCTAGCAAAGGATCATTTCTATAGGAGATGATGCAGTAATGGTGAAAAGCAGACCAAGCTGGAATCTGTCTGACCACCAAAAGGGGTGAGTCCCCCAATCACAAGCCTTCTCTGTACAGGGTTCAGTGCCAGCCAATGGGGATAGGGATGGTCAGGGGCAGGTTACAAGGACACAGACCCCGCTCCCAAAGGATTTACCATTTCCTCAGGGAGAAAGGATCTAAATATCCACAAAGGACACATGATTGGGTCTGGTATGTTGAAAGAGCCCTGAAATTGGCTCAGAGACTTATGTTCTGGTCCCAGCTCAGTCACCAACTCATTGTTGAGCTTACCCAATTCAGTAGAAAGAACTAGACAATTACTAGAGAGGTACAAGGGACCTTCTAGATCATTCCATCTAACCTGTACCTGGACCCCTTGAGGAACTTTTCCTCCTCTTCAGGGGATGTCAGAAAGTAGAATTTGGAGCTAGAAGGGGCTTTACAAGCAATCTAACTGAATCCACTTTTACAGAGGAAGAAACTGAGACCTCAGGAAGGAAATGTCTTATCTAAAATCACAGGCACAGCCAGGAACTCAATCCTCCCTCTCTATGCCTCAGTTTCCTCCTCTGTAAAACGAGGAGTTGGAGTAGATGATTTCTATGGTAACTTTCAGATTGAACATTCAGTGGCATTCCAGTGCACTTTCTTATAGCCCAGGAGAGTCAGAAGGCCAATGGTACACTAGACCATGGGGTTGGGAGGCCAATAAGGTTAAGGAAGGATAAGAGGGATTACAAAGACCAAAGAACAAGGAGCTTACATTTGTAATCATTTCTGAGCTGGAAGAAATCAAGCCAGGGAGGATGGCCACACCGCTCTCCATGATCGCTCTGTGGAACAAGCCTTTGGACATGGGGGACAGAACCTGGGGAGCAAATCACAGCAGAGGGGAAGAGGAAGCAGTCATGGGGAGGCCCAGATACTCCTGGCTTAGCAGAGACATAGGAGACTGCGAGTCTGAAGGCTAGGACTGTTACTTACCTGCCACACCCCTAAGCTACCCATATAGCACAGTCCCAAACAGAGACCACTCTATGGGACCCTGGCCTTTGGGTCCTTTGGCAAAGCCAGGACTATAAGATAGTTAGACAGAAAGGAGGGCTAAGTAGACTTGGCCATGGTCCAGGACTCTCTGGGTGGCTCAGTAACAGGATATAATAAGATGCCTGTTCTCCGTAACCCAGCAATGCTGTTCCTATGCCCTGCCTCCTTATAAGGTCACATTCTTTATTGATTATTGTTTGTATATTGATTACGAGAAAGCCCAAGGTTGTTGTCAGGATCAAATTACTTCAAATCCAACAGTTTTTCCCACTATACCATGGGAATTTGCCACTTTCCCATCAGCTATTTTTTTTTAGCATAATCCCTCCACTGAACTCTTCTTCCCATGTCTTGTCACATACTGGAGGCTGTCAGTGATGTGCAAACTCCTGGGTTACCAAGCCAGAAGATCTTTGCCTCAAAGCCCGCTGATGGATTTTATGCCTGTCACATGAGGGCCGCCCATACTAACCTCTCAGAGACTTATTGGCAAAGACTGGAGAGAGCAGATCTGCAGCCACAGCTCATCACAAAGGCCACCTGGGGAGGCACAGAGAGCCTGTGAGCAGCATTGGGAAGAAGTGAACCTCAGTGGTGAAATCTGGGATCCATTGGGCCTTGAATTATTTCATCATTACTCTGTACATTTCTTTTGCTCTTACTTGAAGTTTTTAGTAAGCCTTTAAGAAGAGATTGCTCATCTTCTGCCTCCAGTAAAGCAAGAGGAAAAAGACAATCAGTCAGGACTAGGTCAGGAGAATGTAGTGGGACCTCCAAATGAAGTCAAGGGCAGGTGTCAGCCTTGGAGAAAGAAGTCATCAGTCCCAATGGTTCTCAGATGGGTGAGGATAAGAGAAGAGGAAGAAAAACTCAGGCCCATCCAGGGCTGGGGAACCTGTGGTCTTGAGGCCACGTGTGACCCTCTGGTCATCAAGTGCAGTCTTATGACCCAAGCCAAACTTTACAGAACAAATATCCTTAACAAAAGGATTCGTTCTGTCAAGTTAGAGTTCAGCCCAAGGAGGCTGAACATGAGGCCTTGAGGCCATAGGTGCCCCACCACTGGAGATCTTGATTTGCCTACAAGAGGCCCCCTTCAGGCTGGGGTCATTTTTTTTAACACCTACATGTGAGGAAACACTTGTCCCCCCAGCTGACTCTCCAAAGATGGTCACAAGGTCAGGATCTCCTCCAAAGTGGGCAATGTTCTTCTGGACCCATCTCAGAGCAGCCACCTGATCCAGGTAACCCCAGTTGCCAGGTGCATGCTCATCCCCAGTGCTGAAAGCCAGACATTAGACAAGGTTAGAGACTTCTGAAGAAGAGCGCCAGGTTAATAGCATTATGACATTTAAAGACCATTTCCTCCAGCTGGATGATGCAATGGATAGACTGCTGGACCTAGATGTGGCAAGACCAGTGTTCATCTACTAGCTGTGTGACCATGGGGTAGTCACATAGACCTCTGCCTCAGTTACTCCTCTTTAAAATGGGGATAATAATGGCATTTATTTCTCAGAGTTGTTGCAAGGATAAAATGAGGCACTATTTCTAAAGCGCTTTGTAAACCTTAAAGGGCCATACAAATGCTAGTTGTTGCTGTTCTTATTTTACAGATATAAATTGGTGGCACAGGTCTTGAATTTCCCCACCAGAAGGATGCCCAGTGCATGCCTCTTTCCATAGCTCACTGTGCCTTCCAGGTGGAGCCTCCACTATGCTGCTTCCATCCCTTCCAGCTTACTCCCTGATCCCTTCCACCTCCCCACCAGCTGCCTTGCCTCCAGTCTGCCTTTCCCCTCCTTTTTTATTAGCTTTCCTTTTGGTTTTGTCTTCCCCTATTAGAATGTCAAGTCAAGAAACATTTACTGAGCACCTACTATGTGCCAGGCACTATACCAAGCTCTGGGCATACAGAGAGAGGTAAATCAAGTCCCTGCCCTTGAGGAGTCTGCAGTTTAATGGGAGAGACAGTATGCAAACAGCTGTGCCTGAAGAAGATCTATAGAGGAGAGATTGGGAATGATCCCAGAGGGAAGGCCCTGGCAGTTAGGGATGCAGGGAGAGGCTTCTTGCGGAAGGTAGGACTAGCACCAAGTCCTGAAGGAAGCCAGGAAAAGGAGGAGTGAAAATGAATAGTTTCAATAGAATATCTTTTTCACGGATGAGGAAGGAGGCAGAGAATGTGAAGGAGTGTGAGAAGACTAGAGAGGTTGGAGGAGGCCAGGCTCCTCTCCATGAACTCTGCAGTCCAGCAATATCATCTTCTTGTCCTCAAATACAACTCTCTGCCTCCCAAGTCTGAGTTTCCCTGGCTATTCCCATGACTGGAATTCCTTCAAGGAATCTGAGACAACTCTAATTCCACCTTCTTCAAAAGATCTAGCCTTTCCTCTTTCCCCTCCCCCAACACACCCCTCACTGTTAGGGCCTTCCAGAGCAAGGACCCCAGTTTGAGGTTTTATAGAAAATGGGTCCTGGGGAAGCTAGGGGAAGCATGAGCTTTATTACCACATGGTGAACCAAGCAGGCAAAAATGAAAGCAACACATACACACACACACACACACACACACACACACACACACACACACACACTCACAAGCACACACATGCATTATATGACAACCTGCATTGACAGACAGAGATTCAGGGCACTCTCATGCAAGAGAATTGTACAGGGGCAAGATCTTGGTGGGAGTACACACTCAGAGTGGGGAGTGAGACAGTCATCCCTTAAAGGAAGGTTTGGTTGAGACAATTAGCACAACATGTGAGACAGGGCATTCTTAATCAGACCCTGATGTGGTGGGGAAGTTCCCCAGGATTCCTTATTGATGCCTGACTCAGAGACTCCAAGAGTGGATGCCAGCACACAGACATGCAGTCTGCTGGGAGTCTGTTCAGGAGCTGAGGTTACTCACAAAATCAGAATAAATCAGGGCTTTTGAAAATACAGGCTATCTACTATTGCTTAAATTTTTTATGGTCCTTAGGACCACTTACCCTGTGGCGCCATGTTGGAGTCCTATCACTTATAACAACAACATGACACAACATATTTCAAAAATCACAATTGTCACACCTTCCCTTTGAGATTGCTTCTCCTTTTCATTGTATATATTTTGTGTCTATATATTGTTATTTGTATGTTGTCTCCCATTAGAATTGAACTCCCTGAGGATAGGAACTGACTTTCTTTTGTATCACAAGCACTTAGCACAGTAATGGGCATATAACAAGTGCTTAAATAATGCTTGTTAACTGACTGATTGATTGAATCAGGGGGTGATGGTCTGACCTGTGCTGTAGGAAGATCACTGACAGCTCAGTGGAAGATGAACTGGAGTAGAGAGAGAAGAAGCAAGGAGACCAACCAAGCAGGTGTTATTAGTCCAAGTGTAAGGTGGTGAGAGCTTGCACTAGAGTGGTGGTAGTGTCAGAGGAGAGAAGTGAGTGTATATGAGAGATGTAACAAGGGTAGAGTCAATAAGACTTGGCAACATATTGGATAGAGGGGAAAAGTAAGTCAGTAGTGGGCAGTGACACCTAGATCACGAGCCTGGGTGACCGGAGGATGATGGGGACTTTAACAAATAATAGGGACATTATGAAGAGGGGAGGGCTTGGTAGGAAAGAGAAAGAGTTCTGTTTTGGGGACATTGAGTTTATAATGTATGTGGGACATACATTTTGAGGTAGTTGGAGCTGGGATACTGTAGGTCTAATCTGGAGATTGGAAGCCATACTGGAGAGAGCGAAGAGAAATCTAGTCATGACAGGAAGGAGATATATGGGATGATAGCTAGTGGGGATGGATGGATGGATGGATGGATGGATGGATGGATGGATGGATGGATGGATGGATGGATGGAAGGATGGAAGGATGGGTGGATGGATCAGTAAGGTTTTTTGAGAACACAGGTGAGACATGTCAGGTTTATAGGTAGTACAAAAGCAGCAGGGAGGAGGTGTGGAAGGGAGAAAGAAGGGGAGTGAAGGGTTAATGTATAAGATCTTCCCTATCCACAGCCCAAGTCAAAGGACAAGGAACTTCCTTAACATATTGTTCTGAGATTTGTTTCAACCCAGACCCACCTTGGGGAACTATTCCTTAAAAACAGGTCTTGATGTAAACATCCAGGGACTTGACCAGTTCCTGGGTATTGACCCAAGACATTTTTGACATAACAAAGATTGTTCTTGAGGTTGGAGAGTTTCGGCCAAAACTCTCAAGTCCTTAGGATTAATCACCTGTTCTTTGGCTCCCTGCCTTCTTTGTGTAAGGATAATAGAAAGGGTCTTTCTTGGGAAAGTGACTTTGGGAGTCTCCCTCCAAGAGGACACTCTGCTGTAGGGACTTTCCCAACTAAGACCCTGATGACTGGGATACAGGACTCCCCCAGCCAGAAGTTCAGGAGTTGGTGCTTTCTGAGATTGGTGATGTATTTCTTCTTCTTTATCTCTCTATCATTCTGCTAATACTCTTTGCTTTTAAGATTGCATAATCACATGTAATCACATGTGCATGTATGTTTATGATTATATTATTTATAAGCTAGGAAAAGTGTGAATGTGTGAGTACATATCTGAACCCGTGAAATAAATCACAAGTGCTGCGCAGCCTGTAACACCTTATTGTTACAATTGGCATCACCGAACAGCATCTGTGTCACAATGGGGTTCCTAAAAAAAGTCAGGAGAAGTTAAAGTTAAAGAACAGGAAATTCCTGGCTGGGAAGGGCTCCCATATTCCTCCCTTGCTAAAGACTGGGCTAAGAATACTGGTCCTTGTCAGGACTCGGGGAGCCGTCTCAAACAAGCTGAACCACTGAATGTTATTAGATGTTTAGAGGAGATCCCAATAGGAAAAGGGAAAGAGATAAGGGGAATAAGTAGAAGAGGATGGGCTTTGCTAACAGCATGCCCAGCTCAAGAAATTATACCCTAGCCTTCAGCATTTGAAAGGGGATTAAGATAAGGGCCAACCTCCAGTGCAAATTAGGGAAGTAAGAAGTAGAGATTATAGGCTGCATATTCCCATAACTATATATTGGGAAAATGGTTCTACAACTGTAGCAAAAGCTCTAATTGACACTGGTGCAGAGACCTCCCTAATTTATGGGAACCCTGATAAATTTAGCCAAAGAAGACCCATGATAATTACAGGATTAGGAGGAAAAGAGATACAAGCCAAACAAGTCACTATACCCATTAAAATAGGACAATTACCTTGGCGAGATTATACTGTAGTAATAGTCCTATTCCTGAATATATAACTGGAATAGATATTTTAAGAGGAATGACTTTGCAGTTACAGATGGATGATATCAATTTGCTGTTAGGGCTCTAACCATAAGGGCAGTGTTAGCAGGAAAACTTAAAATGCCCCTTGTGTCTTTACCACTTCCTGCTAAGACCATTACTCTAAAGCAGTACTGTATACTGGGAGGGCAGGAGGAAACCACTGCTACTATTAAGGAATATGTTGATGTAGGAGTAGCGATTCCCACTATTACTGAATGGGATAACCCTATATGGCCAGTGAAAAAGTTCGATGGGACATGGAGAATGACTGTTGATTATAGGCAATTGAGTAAAGCTACTCCTCCTTTGTTTGCGGAGGCACCTGACACCATTACTTTGATTGAACTATTCAATAATATTCAGGGCATTGGTATGCAGTTATAGACTTGGATAATGCCTTCTTTACCATACCAATAGATCCAGCCCAGTGGGATCAATTCGCTTTTACTTGGCAAGGGAAACAGTATGCATTTACTGGCTTACCACAGAGATATTTACATAGCCCCACTATTTGCCATCAGATAGTGGCGGAACATCTAGATGAGTTGAAAATGAAAGGAGTGCAGATAACTCATTATATTGATGACATCTTAATACTAGGTGAAGATTGTCAAATGGTGGGGGGAAATTTGCATATTTTATTAAAACATATGGAAAGCAAAGGATGGGAAATTAACCCAAACAAAATTCAGGGACCAGTACAGGCAGTAAAACTCTGAGGGATTTACTGGAATAAGAGGCACAGTGAAATACTTCCTAAGGCTAAACAAAAGAGAGCAGATTTTCTTCCCCCTACTAATAAAACTGAGGCCCAGAAATTCATAGGACTTTTTGGATGTTGGAGAACACATATTCCCCATTTAGGACAAATATTGTGCGCACTTTATAAAGTGACTAGGAAGAAATATGAATTCAATTGGGGCAAGGAGGAAGAACGCCAAAACTGCAATCCAAACCGCGTTAGATTTATGGCCT